CATTGGTAGGTGGAAAGCCTAGAAAGCTGGAAAAAACTGAAATTCACATTTCTCAATTGATGAGAATTTCGTACCCTCGCGCTGTGCCTTACGGTCTCGCGCCGTAAATAAACTATATAGAGCGGATTTCGTATATGAGTGGGAAACGGACGGTACTGTACTGTGTCCGTAATCGTACTGTAACCAAATTCTAGTKCCCCATTGTTTCACCAAAATTCTGCAGGCCAGGTGCGTTAACTGTGCGGTAACCGTAGGGTAACGGTGTCCCACTCATACGAAATCCGCTCTAAAAAGAGTTAAAATCCAACCTCTGGTACCCAGGGTAAGAAACTCGCTAAGCTGAGCTCTAGGTACCAGTGAAACACTGAGTATAAATTTCAAAATTCGAGGAGCCCTCTYAATAACCTAAAAAATATAATATATACAGAAATTTCAACATAATATCATAACTCAGAAGTCCTGGAAACCGTGTCCTGTGTATGCCAAAGCTGCCAAAGCTTTGAAAACCTCTACCTATTCTACTGTAATKAACTATCGAGTACTACTACATCGAAAGTAGATAGTTCACACGAATCAAGACGGTTTTACATGTAATATTGTGGTTCTCATACTCTAGCGGGCTAGACTAATAACAACGTTGAATGTGCAAGAACTGGCTTAACCTTACCCACAGTCGGAATACTTCTTTCTTGTTGTCGTCTTTACGCATAATATTATCAACATTCGCCATAGACAACCATATAATCCTAAAACAAAGCGGAGAATGCAGCAGAAAAATCACATTTTGTTTCCAAATATGTTTTTAAAACGAAGAAAGAAAAGATTTCTGAGAACTGCCATTTTCGTCGAGGCAATGTAGTTCTGAGAACTCCCGAACGATTCGATATTCCACAGGAATCCCATAAATGAAGGTGAGTTCACACTTCCTGTTTCAGATTTGTTATTTGTAGGCRCTAACTAAATTGCRCATGTGGATGTAGTAACGTTTAGACATCTGTCCCATTTTTACTTCATCTTTTTCATTATGWTTTTTCGCACTTTTATGCACATTTTCTTAGAACATCGCARTGCATGCTAGTTAATTCCCAGTGCCCCTCGACCAGCAATCACATGTACCTTCTTCCTCGTAAAAACCAGAAATCAGGCCTAAAAGAACACAAAATGGATCCGTAAGTGCAGCATTTTTATCATTAGTAGCCAAACAATTATAAAACTAAGTAGCAATCTTTTTATTTTCAAAGTGTGAATCATCCGCTCACGTTATGGGCCCAGAGAAAAGACAAGCTCTTYATCACCATTGCACTTGAGGATTGTMAAGAACCAACTATCGACCTCACAGAGACAAAACTTACCTTCAAGTAAGACAGACTGATTTAGCTCTGATTGTTAAATATTGCAGTATTTCTAAAATAAYYTTTTCACTTGCAGATCTAAAGGCGGTCACGATCACAAGTTATATGAATTAGAATTGGAATTCAACCAATCGGTGGTCCCTCAGGTAAGTTTATGATGAACTGTGGAGGAATGAAAGCTCTCAGGTCGATACTTTTAATATGACGTTTTAATGAAATTAATTCAAAGTTGATAGGACCTATTGCAGATATTTAGCTGGGGCTATTTACTAGCTGTTTATGCAGCAATGAAACCAACATGACTTATGTCTAGACATGACATGACATGACCAAAGAGGCAATGTCATTTTCTAGCATTATGGGAAATTTTGAAGTTGCTTATTCATGTCTGCTCAAATAGTTCCCAAAAGAATTCCTTATAGAAATTGAACAAATTTTTGTTGTGTTTTTTTTTTTGCAAAAAATTAAATTACAGTTAAAACTGATCTTGTTTAATTGCGTTAGTCTGACACAATTTCCCACTTCATTTAATAGTGTACATTGTATGTCAAAAACAAATCATATGTACAGATATCATTGATAGAGAATGCTACTTAACTTTTTCCCTATCAAAACAAAGAAAGTCTTAATGCGTAGTTATTATATTTCTTTACTAGGAATCAAAACAGCTAGTCACATCAAGAGAAATTACTTTTAATATCAAGAAAAAAGATGAAGGTCCATATTGGCCACGACTACTTAAAGATAAAACAAAGGTGAGCTGTTTACTGTCAAACATTGTGGACAAATAAGAGAAGAAATACCTCATGATATTGAAATTCATTATTGCCTTTTACTTTGTATAGCCACATTTTCTTAAAACYGATTTTAATAAATGGAAAGATGAAGATGATTCTGACACTGAAGACACCTATACTCCAGATGATGCAAATTTTGAAAGTGTAAGTCACTTTGACAAGAATGAGAAAACTGTTGTTGTGTATTTCCCATACCTGTTCTGATAGATTTTAACTAATATCAGATTTTTAGCAATGTGATAATCACTTCACAATTACTATCATAGYCCTCTTAATTTATGACATGAAACACATCACTATTTGTCATAATACCTGTGTAAATATTACTGTTGCCACCTAAGCTAAATTGTTTACTAGTTTGAGTASTGCAAGTTTATTACCTGGAAAAGTGACTTTGGCCAACATAGAGACTTGTTGCACTGTAATGTAATGCATAGGTTGTTGAGAAAACTGYGTAACTTGTTATTGTCTTTTRACAGATGGTCAACAGCATGGGTGCAGGAGGTTTAGGAGTAAGTAAAAGTCTAATGAATCTGTAAAAGTAAAGGCACAATCCATTTAGACCACACTGGCTGAGCTGACCAGACAAATGATTTATTTAGAAGTAAACTTTGAGTTTATCAGGGTTTTTTTTGATGGTATCCATTTTGATACTAATCAATGAACTTTAGAAATTAAAACTTCTAACTGAACAGTAATGATATACATTGGAATTTTACTTTGGGTCTGTTCTGCTAAATGGAAAGCAACCTAATAGCATTTTAACATAAGGAAGGCAAAAAGAGTCCAAGGAAGAAACTAGACTTTCCAAATAAATTCATTTATAACTAAAATTGTAAAACAATTTCATTCTTTTTGTTTTTGTGCTTGTAGGAGAAGTTTGATCCAGGAGAAGTAGACTCAGATGACAGTGATGATGAAGGTAATGATCTYTAAAAGATTTATTCTCTTTCACAGCTGATTTGACACCTGTCTTTGTAGACACTTGAAAAAAAATACAAGACAAAACCTCACTTCCAATCCCTGATTGACTGTAGAAAGAAAATGTGTAAAATAATGTCAAAAGTGTTTTCAAGTGACTACAGTGGTGTTTCTAGTACTTTTAATTTAAATATACCATTTGCAATTAATTTATGTTTTTTTACTTAATTTCCTTGTCATATTTCATATGTAAAAATTTTCTTGCAGAACTACCGGACTTAGAAGGCTAGTCCGTTTGAAGTCTAAAGATTTTTTCATCYCAATGCATTTATAATGCTGTGTTGTCTCAGACACTTTGGTAGGACTTTCAGTATATCTGGAATTGATACCACAATAATTTGGATTTTAAAAATATAGTCCCTAACATTGTTCTTCTAAGTGGTGTAGTCCCTCTCTAGTAATAAAAAATATTTGTACAGTATGTCATCTATGCACTTCTGTCAAAGCCAATAAAGTACATGTTGTGCTAGACGTCTTTGGTTTATTGCAAATGTAGGGGGAGGGGGTGGGTCTAAACAGATGTACACAGGATACCATATCCTTGAAATTGGACTTTTTGAAATTCAAAAGGAGACTGGGAACGAGTATGAAAATAGTCCACTTATTGAGAACTGAACCTCACCACATGAAAGACTTTACCACAATTAGTATTCTTTTTAAGTTTGAGAGTATTTGGTTGAATACTTGTTGAGTAGTAATTTTTAGAAATTTGCACAAATAAAGAAAGGGCTCAAACATTCTTTGTCATTTTTTTTAGTTTTATTAGCTTACAACTCTGTAATTATTAACAAACTCAGCAGATCTACTATACATATTTCATTATGCTCTTTCGTCTTGTGGTAGCCTGCGTCACATCCGGACAAACTTTCGTTATGGACTTAACCGAAAGTTTGTCCGGATGTGACGCAGGCTATCTTGTGGGAGCAAAATCAATCAAGACTTATCACCAGTCCCTTTTYGAATTTCCGGAATGGCTAATAGTTACCAAATCCTTTGTTTTCAATTGTTTAGAGTATAAACACTCAAAGCCTGAAAGCATAGTAACTAAATTGGTTGGTTTAACCAAATCTCGACTATTTCATGGTTTTAGTGCAAATAGTGGATTTTTTTATTAGAAGTGTTCACAAATATAGTATATGCACCCCAAAACACTTTCTTTTCTTTCTTTGAAATTATGATAAGAATAATGGGAGGAGTCTGTATAATAATCTTTCAGAGGAAACAAACTTTCATTTCATTGAATGGAAACAGATTGAAATCAAGCTTGACATAAATCCCTGTCTCCCCCTTTTKAAATTCCACTCAGTTGAATGATGACCATTACTACCAAAACTCTTTACCACAAGCAACAAAATGCATTTTGGGTTATTCAAAACTGTCATGAAYCATGTCAACAGCCAATCAAGAACTCTGCCTCTTGCCACATGATTGACAGCTTATAAAACTCAAACTTAAAGTGCAACTTAACTCAATTTTCTCCAAAGATGAGGAAAACCTACCCTGCGAGCAGAGTGTATTTCCTTACCTCAATAAAAATTCGTGAATTTTTATTGAGGTAAGGAAATACACTCTGCTCGCAGGGTAAGGAAAACCACCATGGAAAAATAAAATGTTTTTTTTTTTGCTCCTTCATGGAAGTCAGTTAAAAGCTAGTTTTTTTGTAAAATTGCCGCAAACTATCATGGGGACCTGAGTCAAGCAAAGTGTGACATCTAGTAAGGAACCAACGTTCTCATTTGATATGTCAAATAARAATTGTTGAAAGTTGGCTTATAATTCAAAGGCATTTATACCAGGAATKAATACCTTCGAATCTCCACCATCCACTTTCAAGAGCTCCATAAATGCAAGAGAGTCCCTATTTCAAAGAGAGTGCATTTTTCCAAACTGCCAGGAAATTCAATATGATGATAAATATTGCATATTCATCCAATTCCAAATCTTTTTGCAGCAAGTTACTATTTCAATAGGATAGATAATCCTAGAATTTGAAAAAAAAATGAGTTCAGTTCAAGGCTCAAATACAATGGCTCTCAAAGTGAATGTAAATTAAATTTGCACATCTAGTATTTATTCCTTTGACTCTCTCTGAGGTATCGATGTAGAATTTTGTCAGATTTGTTATCTGAAGTGCCAGCTGGCATTGGTGGATGGTGTTGGTATTCCAAAAATCTGTCAATCTCATCAGATCTGTGCAAAGACATTGAACAGTAGATTAGCTGGTGTTTTAAACCACAGACCCTTCACATTTGAATATGATGTTGGGGTACATGTACAACCCCCCTGRGTTCACCACTCAAACAAGTATGCACAACAGGCCCATCACATTTGTTCAGGGGGTGAGATGGATACATTAAAAATCAAATCTTTTGAAAACCTACGTGTTGGAATCAGCTGAAAGGGTCATTGGTAATGTGTTGTAGCCAGTCTTTTCATTCAAACCCTTGAGTATCTCAGATTCCTTTTTGTTCATCTGAAAACATATTTTAAGATTATAGGTTAGACTTGTTTTGACAAGGAAAACATGTTTAAAACCATATGTATGCAAAATAGTAAAACTCCCATTCACTTATCCAGGAGTTTATGGAAGAAACATCCACATTTTATTCTTTAATTATTCTTAATGAATTCATTACATCCAGGCTGAGTGGTGTTATGTGAAATGCAAAAATTTTTGTACCAGAAGAAGATTTTCTTTAGTTTCATGTGAATATCCCAACAGATGACAAAGTCCATGGGCAATCACAATCTGCAAGAAAAAATCACCAGTTATCAACAACTAAAATTAATTGCAATTCTGTTTTGCCAGCTTGTATATTAACTTGTTTAGCAATTTTATCCATTGCTCAACCTCATATTTTAGGGGGTGAGGTTTTATTTGTCATTGTGCAATCTCATTACCCACCTCCAAGCATGGGAAGAATCAGGGACATCAACTCTCCCGGATTTGCTGGGAGACTCCCGATTTCAGGTCGAATCTCCCGGTCTCAAGATTTTAGCCCTAAATCTCCCAGATAGCACAATATTTTCATAGAATCGTAGATTTAAAAAAAAAAAAACCTTCAATGAATTATGTCGCGTTTCCTTGATTTTTCGATACGGTACCATATTTTCCAAACGAAATACTTACAGGTGTTGCTTACGTATGCGCGCACATAAAATATATATTTATAAACTGATTATGCAATGTCTAATCCCATTGGTTGAAATATCGTCACATCGAGTAACGTCATACACATAATCGTGGCAATTTCTCCAGATTTATGAAGTTCAGGGGTTGACATCCCCGAAGAATAGAAACCTTTAGATGAGGGTAATAAATAGTCAAGTTTACAAATGCTGGTCATTTTTTTATTATTGGCCTTTTCTGACTTCTTTCATCAGTACTAAAACATTAGCCAACTACATTCAAATCAATGGCGAAATTAAGATCACCACAGGAAGCCCAAACAATAAACCATCATGTTTATATGCTAACTTGTATATCTTCTATCTCACAAACACTTAGTGAAGGTCTGATACATACTGAMAGATGTTCCTGGAGGTCCCTGTTGTCTTCTTTACAGTCTTTTTCAATKACACGCATGCCWAGTATTATGTCACCAAGATTGTACTCACATGRCATGGAGGGCTTGGGAATAAGTCCCGGTTTTAGATTCTACAAATTCAAATAAAATTAGCATCGCACTTAACGAATATTTGGTCATATTCTTTTATGTGTTTTGTGGCCCTGGAAGGTAACAATCATATTTTTAGGTCGAGGGAAATTAGTAAAACAAAACAAAAAATACCATAATACACACTTTACCTCAAAATAAGGAAAAGCAAGGACGTCRGTCTGAACATTCCTCTTCCGATATTTAAGGTTCAGGCTCTTRATTAATTTTTCACCACTACAAACCACGCTGACATCAAACATTTCCACTCTTAACAACTGCATGAGAAAGGTTGTATCACGAATAACTGCAGCATTGTCGAAAATAACTCTTTTCTGCAAGTTTCGTAGGAAGACAGTCATGATTTTCTTCTACTTATCTTCTCCAGGTTTCTCTAGYTCATTATTTAGACTTTGAAGGCAAAGGAATTACTACTAAAGACTGATTCTGTTTGTGGATTTTTAACAGCAACTTTTGAGCCGATTGTCCGCCATCTTGGATAAACATCTGAGCCTGCAATTCACTTGCAAGCACTTATTATGTCCGGGGAGGGGGGAGCAAAATKTATATTAAATTCAAACAAAAAGCGATAACATGGAAAATTTACTCAACAGTTATTGTCCTCAAGGAAATTATAATCTTTTATATAATATATTGTACATTTTTTTGCTTAAAAACGTTATCATAATAATTCTAATGCCATGTACTTGCAAATAAATTTGCCCTCCCCTCCCTAATTAGGTAAAATATGAACAGTCAGCAGATGCCCCATTAGAAAATTTTAAGTTCAGCTGTAAACATGGGCAAAGAACGAAAAAAGAAAAAGAAGAAGCCTTCAAAATCTAATAAAGGTGAATTGATTGATTTAGTCAAGTAACTTCTATGTAGATATATTGTTGTTGGTCATGTAGCGGTATTTTATGGCTGTTTTCAGTTAACTTAAGCTTATGTTTTGATTTTCAAGTTGCTATATCGAACCACGTGCACGTAAGCTTACTTAACAGTAATTTCTGAGGTTTTACCATAATGATCCATACTGATATGCTTTTGCCTTTATTTTTTGCCTTTGAATTTTAATCTATATTTCTAACTCTTCAAATTGAGGTTTTAGAAGGATGTTAGCCAAGTCACATAAACTTAAGTTAGATTAGTTAAATATCAACCATTTATACAATATGGAGTAGTTGAATTGACTCAATTGAACGCATTATGGTGTGATAGTTCCCCCAGAAGCTARATGTTCTGAAATACAAATAGTCRCCAAAGAACGAAGGTCTCAGGTGACTAAGATGTCATTAAGGAACTAAGAATCAATGTCCAGTTTCCAAGGGCAACTATCACTGACAGCATAATGCYGAGATTTACACAGCACTGTTGYTTTTRTTATTCAACAACAAAGTTTTCTGAAGAAGCAAGCTCTTTGGTTGGCAACTATCRCGTCACTCRGTCAACTCGTTTCAAGTTTCTGGGTCTCATGTCCCTGATTCAAGACCAATCTGCTTGTGGGAATTAACCCATGACATGGCCTCAGGATTAAACATACCCTTACCAATATTATAGCTAATTAGAATTCAACATCTGATTATATTAAAGGTAAACAAAATGGTGAACAAAATCAATTAGAAGGTGAAGAATATACAATTGAAGAACAAGTTACAGTTGATGAAAACACTAATGGACATAATGAAGCACCCAAAGATGTCAACCAGGAAACCATAAAGAATTACAGTGTAGARGATTTTCTTCAAAAGGTAATGCATTGCAAATTTAATAATGATTGTATGTAATTTACTAAGAACTGAGCATGGTCAGTCTTGTACAATACAATGCTCACTCCCCTAACCCACTCTGATAAAAATCAACACATTATCACTGCTCCCATTTGTCACATAATCATATCAAATAGAAAGGAGCTACATAACACCAAACCCTCCCTACTCCCTACCTACCCCTGCTAATAAATATATTAATTAGCTAATAATATTYATGTGTGTCAATCTGTATTTTTGCTTTCAGATTGAGGATTTTATGGATACTTTTAACTATGAATTAGCCCAAAAGTTCTGTGAAAGGGCTTTGGAAATAGATTCTAATCATTTGGAATTACTGGAAACAGCTGGTGCTGTCTTTTTAGAAACAGGAGAAACAGAGAAAGCAAAAAAGGTACACTGCACCTTAAAATTACTGATCAATATGTCTACTTTATCAAATACACCACATGTTATTCTTTATTGTTTGTACTCCATTTATAGGGAAATATTCATTAGGATATAAATGAATTTGTTATTGTATTATATTATTCTGTAGTGTCTTGAGCATGCAGTTGAATTGTCACCTGAAAATGGTCACACAAAGTACATGTACCTTGGCCAAATTCTCCAAGGACAAGAAGCAGTACAGGCTTTTACCAAAGGCATTGATATMATGGTGAAAACATTAGATTCAAATCAAGAGGTGGGTTAAGTCCTAATCATAGATGGATAATATACAATTTCCCCTTATGGGATTTCTCTGCTATCCTCTTTGCTAAGCAGGAGAACTCCTTTAGAAWTGAAAGGTAACAGACTCCATCTGTTATATTATGAAGACAGGAAGCCCAAGAGTATTAAGATCAGAACKGACKAAAGGTAGAYCTSCATAGGAGGCTAGTGGTAATTACCATAAAGATAACTCTACCATTGGGAGAGTGTACAAACGGTTCCACATACTTGACTGATTTGTTCTTCCAAATGTATCTGAGTTTATTCCTTGAAAAAAGTTGTCTTTAATTTCCTAATACACTTTTTCAGTTGCTCTTAGGCCTCAACAGCACGTTAAATATTCTTTTGAATTTGTAGGAATGTGAGCAAGCACACATTGATGTGAATAGTCTCATTTGTCAAATTCAAAGGAATAATTAACTTGCTACCGAGGCCTAAGAGCAACTGAATAAGGTGCATTATTGATGAATGATATGTTATTTAGGGTGCTACAAGTGCTGATTCAGTCAATCCTACAGAAATTTCAACTGCATACTGCTCATTAGCAGAAATCTATATGACTGATGAGTGGTAAGTGATAATTTTTGCAGGGAACTCTGATTATTTTGAAGGTTTCTAATGAATTATCTTAACACATTTATTAGATGTCAGAATGTCAATCAAAATAAACCAGAATGATAGTCATCATGGCTGTCCATGAGTCAGTCCATCTGTCTGACTGCAGTCAGTCAGCTAGTCAGGATGTCAATCAACATTTGAATGAATTTTGAAATTACCACGAGTTGGCATAGCATCTCTTTGCCTTTTATTTCTTCTCTTGGGATTCTTTCTAAGCAAGAACATCCTGGCAAGGTGACCCTCCCTATAATCCCTAGCTGTCATATCAAAAAACAGGAAACCCAAACTAGTTTGGATTGGGTGTTATTTTAACTTGACCCTCTTGATCCAAGATTAATGACTTCATATTCTTTTTCTCTTATTTTCCAGTTTTGATTCAGAAGCAGAGAGTAAATGTTTCCAGTTTTGTCAAAAGGCAATTGAATATGATTCAAGYAATCCTGATGCTTATCAAGTRATGGCTAACTGCCTTCTTAGTCAAGAAAAAGTAGAGGTACTTTCAATCATAAGACAATTACTAGTATATCAAGACATTCCTTAGGGTTTATTCTAGTTTTGTAATTTGTTGCCTTTGTTTTAGGAAGCTCGGTCAGTTTTGAAGAAGGGTCTTGATTTGTGGCTTGGAAAAGATGAAGAAGTACAGCAGGTGCATTATAAATAATTTCTTTGTACATAATATTGTAATATTGTGAAATGTTGTTATTATGTGTTTTGATATATGTTTGTGCATTAATTTTTTTATCATTTTAAGGTCCCAATGCCAGCATATGAAAGTAGGTTCACAACAGCAAAACTAGTACTGGAACTTGGAGATTTTGAGGTGAGTTGAAAATGTTACTTTTTAACCTTACATGCTTTTTATGTGTACTCAGAGTTTATAAAACCAGCGCATATTATTTGCATATAATGATATCAGAAACTCTTTTATACTCATACATGACTAGAGAGTATTCTTTTTACTCACATATTAGCATTGTTATAGTTGGCAGAAAGTGTATTGCAAACACTGTTGGACGAAAATGATGAAGATTACCAGGTAAAAAAGCAAATTCCTGTCAAGATTAATTACAAGAAATGATAAATTAATCTCCACTCAATTTTATGAGACAATTGCTAATATATATCTATTATTTATGTGCTACGTAGGTGTGGTATTTGTTAGGATGGATGTACCATTTGTCAGGACAAGACAATACCAGTAAAAAGATTTGCCTGGAAAAGGCACAGAAGGTATTCTTCAAAGCTGTTTTAGAGGGCTCATTAATCGCGCATAAATTCACTTCAATCTTATTTGCGTTAACTGAATTCGTTTTGAGACTGACCCGAGATGCACAATGAATATCAAATGAATGACATCTAATACTAATATGCAGCTAGAAGTTTGTAGCTACTTCCTCTTGTGTAAATCTTTGATAAAGCACAAAAGTGTCATGTAAACGCGGTTTTTTTTGTTATCCTTGTAACAGATAATAAACAAATGCGAGGTGACAGATGAAGACATTATGAAGCACATAGAAGAGCTGTTGTCGGAAGCGTCATGCGACGATCAAATAATGGATGATGATGATGATGCCGAGGATGATGATGAAGATGACATGGAAACATGACAACGACACACCTTTATAAAAAAGTTAGTTCAATTTCACGTAATCAAAATGTCAGGGCAGTCAAAGAGAACGATTTTAATACACAAAATAGACATTGAACAATCCTTGAGAACTAAATAAGCTTTAAATTCTTTTAAATATCACTAAAGGTTTTTCAGTCGGACAGTAGATCATGTCAGCAATGTCTGCACATCTAGCTGTGAATTCCGCTCTTGTAAAATATTTTGTATTAATAACATTATCATAATTTCAGTATTATATTTAGCTTTTACAATGTTAATTTGATTATTCGAGGTACACAAAAATGTTCTCGGCAAACGCGAATGTTTCTCTGTAGAAATTATAGAGAATATTTTAACKGGGAGAGTATTGTAACAAATGATACATGTATAGTCATAATATTTTACTACTGGTGATTTTACTTGCTACACATGAATGTTAACATCGTTTGCAAAACGATGAAACTGAACATTTGTGACTTTTTTTACAATTTTGCGTCAAATTCATAAGTTTGTACAAAACGGTTATCTTCTAGTCCATCAACCTTTGAGTAAACGCTCAACTATAGTATTCTTTTTGTCCTGGTTTATTTTTGTTACGTTATTATTATTTAGCGTGATATCAGTATTAGCTTGTTTAGGTCCTCTGGAATGCTGGGATTGCTTGGGGTTAATACTAGATGGGTCAGCTTGATAGGCCAAGGCTTTCATCAGAATGTGATCAGGAACGATGTCCATCTGACGGACTTCCTGCATCAGTCGCATTGTGGGTATTTTGTAGAATTCAATGCAGTCGACCACGGACTGCAGAGCTTCTTTCAAACTCACCCCAGGGTTTTTATCGCAGTGCGCATGGCCCCAAGATAAAGCCGCTGTAAACTTCTCCCATTCAGTAGCATTTAAATCTTTTCGCGCCAAAATCAAGCGCACTACGTGTTGTGGAAGGTTACAGAAAGATACTCGGCCTAGTATCTCGCSAGCATTGAGGGCTGTGAACTCGAGAAGCTTGGGTACTACCATTTTGATGGACTTGAATTGAACATATTTTTCTGCGTCACACAGAAATTGACAGACGTTGTCAATAGTGATGCACTTGTCCATGAAACTTGACGCGGCAAGTTGTAAGTCTTCAACTGCAAAGAACTCTGCCGCGGCTATCAATCCCACATTGCAGTGCGATGCCAGAGTGCACCGTCCGCAGTGCAAAAACTCCATTAAACGACCAAACTCATCAGCTTCAAAATCCTCAATAGGAATTGTCGTAGTGGAACTGTCACGCATCTTCGCAGGTTTTGTTGGCGTTTTACTATCACGCTTAAGGAGGGAAAAACCTCGTTGTTTCTTGGGGGTCTTCTTGCTTGGAGTGCTGGATTCTGTTCCTCKTCCACAAACACTTTGTCCAGCGTACAACATGTTGAAAAACACCCTTCAAAGCAGACAAACAAAATAATTTACTAAATTAGCTGAAGAAACAAAAAAGACCGAGCATGTAAGCTTTCTGTCAGCTAAGACTATATGCATCAAATTCATAATGGCCTGAAGTCTGATGCAAATAAAAACCTCGAAAGAATATAGTAAAATATTATTGACTCCCGTCAATTAACTTACCGACTTCTTGCAGCTAATATAGCTTTTACACCACCCATGCATTCTTTGTCTTTTCCAAGCAAAAAGTGAACATCATACAGCTCAGGCACAGTGGCCAGCAGACTCATGTCTTCTGCCAGACGCGCTATGTTTTTGACTTGTTTTATTGTTTCGTGTTTGGAGCCTGACATTCTGGCAATTTCCTCTAAAAATATAAGAATGATTCACTTTAGTAATTGTTTTCTTAGCGTTATGAAAGCTGGAATATCAATCCAGTATAAAGATTAATGAAAGTTGGCATTTTGTCAAATACATGTATCCAGCCGCCATCTTGGCTGCACTCGAAACTATGTATTATGCTGTTATAATTCTATTTGACATAGAAAGAAAATTATCAAATGCCAAATTAGTTTGAATTATCTCCCCAAACTCATCGCAAACTTTTATGTACGACCTGTAACTGTGATTTAGTTGACAGTCGTTGAGGTTGTGCATAAACGTTTCGGGTAAGTTTGAGGATATAATTTCTTAAGAAACTCTCTCGTTGAGTTGTTCGTCTGATCGATATTGCTTTAAAAAAATATGTATATAGGTCAAGGCAGTAGTCGAAACTTTGTCAATAGTTTATTCTAACCTAAAACTTATAAACAACTCTGACAAGCAAATTAACTTTTTGATAATGGCGCCATCTTCTTCATCTCTTTTTCACAAACGTTTCCCAATAAAAAGGAGTTTGTATGGCTACGAAAGGCCAGGGTAAAGTTAGTAGATTTACCGTTTTATTCCATGTAGCTTATCGAAATCCGGACATATTATTTCTTCTGCGGAACACTGACACATCTATATCATCATTCTATCATTTGAAAGAAAAATTATAAAGTATACTCACTAAAAACAGCCTCTGAAGTCCACCAACGTTGTTCTAATTTGTCTCCTTTGATCACTGAGCGAATATTTCTTCAGTACGTGTTGTTTTCAAACGTATTCCTTTCTTTGTATGTTTGAATTTTGCTGCAGAGAGAGCTCATTTAAATCAATTCCCAACAGGACGGGAGTATTTATTCCTTAACTCTGAAGGGAATTAGCTGCGAGATTATTAAGCATTGTGAGGGCGGCGTGCAGCCGGGCGTTCATCTTGCTTCTGAGGAGGCGGGCTTCCTCTTTGAATCATATCTTAACTTCGTTTGTATCAAGAATTAGTAGTGGTGATAAGAAACGTTGATTTGGGTTGGAACTTTTCTCACGCTATTGTTTCCAACAATACCTCGAAGGTAGTAAAACGGAGATTTTACTTCTAAGAAGGCACAATGTAATTTGGTTTGTTGTTACGGCAGACTTATACGCTGCCATCTGAACTATTATGGTGTAATTAAAATACTTGTTATGTTTGACGATGCGCATTTCTTTTTGATACATCATCACTTTAAGCTGTTTTAGATATCATGGCTTTTCATCATCGCAATCCAAAAATCTCGATGATTTTGATCTTATCTRCGGGAACATAACTGAATTACTACGTAAACGTTATCGTGTTACAACGTTACGCCTATCTCGGCGTAAATTGATTGAAAAATTTCCGCGAGAACTGACAGTTTTGAAATTTTGGTTGGTCTAGTAGTTCAGGGTTATTTTGCAAATTAAAGGTCCATTAAATTGGAGGGTAAAAATCAGTTGAACTTTGTATAGAAAGGAAAGTTTTCCCATGCACTCTCTACTCTTGGGATATTCGTGACTTTTGTCGACTTATCGCTTAAAGCAATCAGCTGCGGGCGCAAAATGTGACTTTGATTAATTTAAGAATCTAAACAGGCCAACAATAGCCTMGAGATAACCATGATATTTTTTTAATATAACTCGTTTTTTTTTTTTTTTCAAAGTTTGCATAAAAATTGACCTAACTAGCTAAATCTGTGCAACTGAAGACTCGGTGGGACGGTGGGACGGGAGAGAGTCATGCTTTGGATCGCTTTACAAGACTTTATCTCTGTCAACATAAAAATCTTAACATAAACTGATTTCAATCTTTAGTCACTCTACATTTTTGTAGTAAACGTAGACAAAGGCCAAGCCCTTGTAATATTGACATCATCGCTATATGTTCTGGGTGTTGGCCGACAAGTCTCGACAGTGAATCTTGTAATGATTTATGTGTTAGTAGTATTAGGGATGAGTCGTACATAATATGGGCGTACAGAATGTTTAGTCAAATTGACAACATATTTATAAATTGTAGAAATTTTTTATCGTCATTTATAAAAGAAAAGTATTTCATCCCGTCGCGTACGTCATTAAATTTTAGATTTCTCGCCCTTTCWTGTCAWATATTGAGAAGGCGTTYACTATCTTGAATTTGATACACAAATTAAAACTTTTTAGATRAAAGAAAATATACTGACGTTAWGGGCGTTGGTCCTTTSTAGGAGGATCTGATCCAACTAAAGTCAGTAAGATGTCTAATCTTTCTCTTCACAACTGTTTCATTATAAAAGCAGTTCCCAATAT